TAAACTAGGTCATATATATGATTTTAATATAAATAATCATGGCTTTGTTGGTCTTGTAGCACGGGCACATCATCATGAATCATGGGGACCAATAATTGTTGAAGAATGGTTACCATCTTCTGATAAAGTGCCTTATTTAGAACATGTTCATGTTTTGTTTATGCATTGGTATGTTTCCTTTAATCCTGGTCATGTCATTTGGGAAGATATAGCTTCTACTTACTTTGCTATGATTAGGCTAAATGAATATGATAGAAATGCTGTTCTTATTGAATATCGACATTTTCCAAATAAAGGAGATCAATTCTATCGAATGTATGAAAACTTAGTTCCTGCTTTTGCTGCAAAATTTGATAGTCTTGATCATTATTTGAATAATTTTTCCTCATCTCTTGTATGTTTTCAAACTCTTATAGCTGGTGGTGCCAAGTCAATGTTTTCTATAGACAATGAGCCATATACACATGGAAAAGAAAGACTTCTCTATGATTATCGTACTGCTATTCCGCGATATCATGGTGTCAATGTATCTCATTTACCAACACATCATCGTATTATACTTGTTAACAAAACTCGAGCATGGCGTCGTAGTTTACGTGCAATAAAAAATCTTGTCGAAGTTAAACACTTTATATCGTCAACATATCCAAAGATACAGCTTGATGTTATTGATTGGAATAAATTTACATTTGCTCAACAAATGCATGAATTATACAAAACAACAATACTAATCACACCTTGTGGTGGTATCTCAACAATAATACCATTTTTACCTGATGGAACACATGCAATCATAATGGATTTCTATGGTAATAAACAAGCATATGCTAAAGGGGCGAGATACAAGATTGGAGAATCAGCTTCGATGTATGCAGCTCTTTGACGTCGTGTATAAATGCCGTCCAGACATGCGGCATTGGAAGAACTAACAAAAATAGGACAGCATGCGGCAAATGGAAGTAATACATACAATTCCAGTTTCACCGCTGAAATACTGACACTGATATCATCGACATTCGAGTCTACTGAAAAATTGTATAAATTCTCCTTCACGTTTACCATAGTCGTGAAACTACACGTGTCATCACTGATGATATGGATGGGTGTGAGTGATTAAAGAAGAATAACCAGAACTCACGCTCACATCCACACCCACACCCATCACGAGCTGCACCAATTAACAGCATAAGCCTGTCACGACCACTAGCATGAAATATTGACATTCAATTAAGGGGACCTCCCCTTTCCGAGGTTTCTCGAGAACGGCTCGGTAAAATTTTCTGAAACTTTCAGGGTAGATAGATCTCGATGAGTAGAGCAAAAGTTGTTACAGGCTCAGAATTCGAAGATGCTGCCTTTCCAGAGATATTTGCGATCCAAGGGCGAAAAATGACCTGAAGTTTCCCCCCCCCCCCCCCCGCAAAACTCTTATACTGCATTGTTTCGAGCTGAAATTTTTTCTGCAGAAACTAGAAACAAATTGGGGTGGCCGTTTTTTTTTTTTCGAAAAATATCGTTCCTAAGGGTCAAGAGAACGAAATCACTGACGGCACTATCAAAAAATGCGATTTTTTTCCTTTTTTTCTTATAGTGCCAATTTTGTGGTGCCTAGTAAAATTCCTTAAGAAGAATATTTTCAAGAGAAAAAAAAACGGTCACCCCAAATTATTCGAAGTATTCACACTAAAAATTTCAGGTCGATTCATTTCGGCGCGAGAGGAGAAAAGGGGGGAAAACTTCATTTTTGTGCTGAAAAAACTGATTTTGAGAAAAACGCAAAGAAATTTCTGTTTTTTGGTTTTTTCAGCATATTTTGTGATTTTTTACGAAGTTTTTTATATATAAGATGTGGATTTTCAGTTCTCAAAGTGTACTCAATGGATAGAGGGCATTTAAATCTATATAGTAATCACAAAAAATGAAAAACAAAAAGTGTCAAAATTTTGAGTCGGGAAAAGGGGGGGGCCTTAAGTATCATCATCTCTTAACAAGATGAAAATAATGTTTGTAATGCATCAAATTCATGTTAATTGTACTTTATGCGTGCTTTTCTTCCCTTCTTACCAGAGCATCAAAAGTCAATTCATGCAAACTTTTCCGTTTCATTTGACTGTTGACTGGACTTCATCGATTAATTTGTTGTGGATAACATCTGAATATACAAAAATTTTATTTTCGCGGACAAATTTCACCAGCATCTTGGGAAGTTAAGATCGTTAACAACAAGGTAAAGACGTGGTCTGCTTTTCTTTCCCAGAAAAGCGTCTTATCGTATGTCTTGTTTAATTACTTTGAGTTGAGTGATTTGAATACTTAAACAGTCCATCATTTGAACGTTTTTTTCAGTGAATTCTACATTGGTATACATTTGTGCGAAAAAAATGAATGACGGGGCAATCAAAATTGAAGCAATAAAACTGCACATGATCTGTAATTATTTCTGAAAAGAGAAAACAGATGAGACTTTTGTATTTAGCTTAAAGATGTTAGCTTTCAACAAAGCTTTTGAAATTTCTCTGTAGAAATGAAAACTCTATGTATTCATCTATCACCCGAAAAACCTTATTCGATGAAGTTCATTTGATGTTCAAATGAAACAGAAAAGCTGGGTGTAGGTGTGAATTGACTCTTGACCCACACCCGCACGCAATTAGCATTGGATGACCCGAAGTCTAAGGAAGATTCTTTCATCTTGAATATATTCGCTATTATTGTCTTCGAATTAATCATTCCAAGAATGGACATTTGTATGACTTTTGTCGGTTTAGCGGTTACATTGCTTTAAATGTGCACATAATTCGTGTAAGTACCCAAGTGTTTGCCTAGGAAAAGCAGCTCATGTACTGTACACAAATTTTGAGGTCTGAAAATTTCAAGAAGTTCAAGAAAAGATCAACTCGGTTAGAGTCTTCAACGAATAAACTCAGAAAATCTACGAACAGGGCCCTAAATAGTTGGTTGATACTGGATGTTCTTTATGAATAATCTTTTTGGAATTATTTTCCACATATTCGGAAGCTCTACTATCAGGTTCGGACTGTGGAAGATTATGTTTTCGACTTTCCTGAAGCATCAAACACCCGTCATGATGCGTCAATCAAAATTAGCATGATCCGACTAAAGGAATTGATTGACACTGCATTACAAGAGTCAACCTTAATTCATTAATTCGCTATTTTAATAGGCTTTCGTGCAAACTATTGTTTGTTCACCAGAAACATTAGTGCCTCTGTTCAATCTGTCATTTCTTTTAAAAATCTAAAGATATATTCTACCAGCAAATTATGAGAAGAGGAATGGAATTAATAAGAGAAGCAAGGGCAGTCATAGTGTGTCATTGATTCATAAGGTGAGATGTTTCTCGTATGGGTAAACCATTTGTTCGTGAAAAGAATTACCTGAAAAAAAATAATAAGTGATACATAGATAAGAAAATGTCTTTTTGTTGAGGAGAAGGAACGTGTAAATAATATTAGCCAGCAAGACGAATCACCACTCAGCAATAAGTATCATGAAGTGAATGTAAAGTTGCATATATTTCTGAAATACAAAAACTTATTCTGAGGATACACTGGGTGTGCATGGTTCAGTGCAGGTGCGGATTCAGACGTATTTGTGTTCTTCTCAAACACACCCACGCCACTGATTTTCGACCAAGTTTATAGTTTAGAATTCTAAAAAACACGGCGTTTGAGCTTTTACGATCATCATTTTCTGTTCATTGATCAAACAATAGATTTTTGTGTATTCAAAGATTTTTGACTTTCCATGACTTGTTCGTAAGATAGAATAATGGTTAAAGTCAAATGTTTCGAGCACAGCTTCTCAAAAGAGATACTTTTGGAAAAAAGCTAATGGCTACTTAATATTCTTCAATAGCTACTTAATGAGCCTACAGCTACTTAATGATTTCCTATAGCTACTTAATCGGCCTACAGCTACTTAATCATTTTACAGCTACATAATGATAATACACTTACTTAAGATGGACTACTTGACGTTTCCTATGACTATTTAAATATCCCACATGCATTTAAATTTGCTGTAGCTATTTACAGTTTGCGCACCTATTGAAAACTCCGCAGCCATTTCAACATGCCACGATAATTAAAAAACTCGTCGATAAATACAGAAACCATAGATATTTATAAACTAATAGCCGTTTAAACAATATGAAATATTTCCTTCACTGTTTCATAACTATTGTAACCTTTTCATAGCTATGAGAATGATTTCGTAGATATTGAGAAAATTTCATACCCTAGATGATTTGAATAGCTAATCGATCTCTACGATGATTGCGTACTTTTTTGTATGTGACCCACACCTTGACATTGTTCTGTCTCTCTTTTCTTGCTGTTACGTGTGAATAAAATGCCTCTCATAATCTCATAAAAAATCTATATATGAAAGTTTAATAATATTATGAAGAAGAACACCTGTATCTACTTATATATGCGTATGTATGTATATGTGTTGCACACAAAATTGCATTTCATTACATTTGAAAATAATTTACAATTCAAACTTACGAGGGAACGTTCCCAAATGATTAAAAGCTTTTGAGCTCATATGTTACCCATTAGGTAGGGAACCACTAGATTAGAGAAACCTCCAAAGGATTCGTGTCCATATTGAGATTTGACAGAGATATCGAATTTTTAGTGGATTTTTCCTGCTAGACCCTAATTCTACAGCAAAATCATATTTTCGAATTTCGACCTGAAACTTTGCCCAAATGAAGGCTTCGATTAGAGTAGCTTATATAGAAAATTTCAGAATTTTTGGACATTGCATTTCCAAGGTATCAATTTTTGAAAATATAGGCACTTTTCTATGTATAACATGGATACTTTGAAAGATTGATACCTTGAAGATGCAATGTCCAAAAATTCTGAAATTTTTTATACAAGCTACTCTGATCGAGGCCTTCATTTGGGCAAAGTTTCAGGTCGAAATTCGAAAATATGACTTTGCTGTAGAACTAGGGTCCAGCAGGAAAAATCCACTAAAAATTCGATATCTCTGTCAAATCTCAATATGGGCACGAATTCTTTGGAGGTTTCTCTAATCTAGTGGTTCCCTACCTAATGGGTAACATATGAGCTCAAAAGCTTTTAATCACTTGGGAACGTTCCCTCGTTAGTTCTTTTTCATATCTATCCTCACTATATTTTCTTATCAATACCTTCCAGTCTCACATATACATATGTAACAAAAAACCTAGTTTGAATCAATATTAAATTTTAACAGAAATAGTGTGTGGGTGTGAGGTGGGTGTGGGTGTGGGTGTGGGTGTGGGTGTGGGTGTGGGTGTGGGTCTGGATCTGGGTCTGGGTCTGGGTGTACGTGTTCCTTTCGACTATACCCCCACCCCCACCCCCACCAACACCCACATCCTACATCCACACCCTTTCTCTAGTGTATACTATTGTTTCTCTGGTTTCGTTCTCTCTCATATGACACCTCTTGTTCGTTTTCTTTCGTGTCTTTGACTATTTTTTTTATTCTTGTAAAAGTCAAGAAAACATTGTTCTTGAACTTGCACTGAAATTTATCGCGTAGTTAGTAATGCGTAACAACATTATATATATGTTGATGTAATTTAATGGGAACAAGAGCATTAGAAAGATTGTTGTTAGTGATTCAACAGATAGAACTGATAAAGATACTGAAGCAATATCTTAAAAACATCCATATACACATCAATGTGAATATAGGGCATAATATGTTCGATGGTTAATAACATCATTTAAAGGTTCCAAATGGTTTAAATGGTATATTAAAGGCCACTGTTAATTGTGATTGTTATTAACTAGTACCAATGATGAAAAACTGAAAAATTCCAAATTATTATAAACCTTTGAAAGCTACTATTTCATT